GTGAGCACCACACACAAGGGTGGCACAGGAGGCTTTCACAGCGTACCTGGAGTTGGATGAGCAAGTGGGTTGGATGCCTGATGTACGTCCATTAACCTGTGTTGCTCCCCTGTGTAGGGTGAGCTAGAAGGGGTGCTCTACCTGCTGCCTGGCCCAGGAACAAGGTGTGGACCACAAATCGGTCAGCAGTAGCTTGGCAATGCAAGGGTTGACACCCCCCAGGAGCCGCCACCTTGTAGGGAGCAGCTGACGGATGGGAACTTACCCCATGAAAAGCAGAAATTAAGTGCTGTCAAAGCAGATATGCCCAGCTTCTCTCAGTTTAAAACTTCAAATTTTGAGTTGTTTGAAGTATGACAATTCTCTCCCCCCTGCTTTAAGCACTGATGAGGATCGCAGGGGTCTGCTTCCCCCGAAGAGCCTGCACTGGGCTCAGAGTTCCCCTGTGCCTTGGCATCTCTGCACGCGTCCAAACCGCCCCACTTCCAAAACACACCTCGTTGCAGCCACTATCACGGACAGGAATAAAAAAACCACAACACACATGCACATGCTCCCCACCACCACTACCACCTTCGCAGGAGGAGATCCCTCATTCTCTCTGCACAGGATTTAGTCTCCGTCATCAAATTCCTCTGCAGTTGCTCAGTTTACATCGCCTGGGCTCCTCGCCAGCCAGGCATTGCATCTCGCTTGCTGTCCACCCGGCTTCGCGCCTGCCTCCCAGCACCCCAGCCCACCCGCTCCCCCTGCCAGCTCAGGGATGCAGCCTGGGGTCCTCAAAGCACCTGCTTTGCTGGAATCTATTTTTGTCCCTAATTAGAGCAAAATCAAACAGCTTCAAGATTTCCCTGAAGGATGCTTTAAAGCTGGTTTCAAATATGATTTCAAATTACCATATGAGAATTTCAGCATTGTTACAGTTGTTTCTATTTTTAGGTCTCTGAAAACAGATAGCAAAATACTGATGACACCAGCATTTGACAAGTGTCAACTTGTTTCACTACCAAATGGATGCTACATGGTCTAGAAAAGGAAATAAAAATCTCAGACTGTAATGTATAGCTTGTATGTGTGACAGTGTAAAGCTTGTTGAATATTGTGGTGGGGTGGACTAAGGCAGCCTCTGAAGGTCCAGAGAAAGACTTTGATGATTCTGTTACTCAGATGTCAGTAGTGGTAATAAAGCAGCTTGAAATAGCGAGGGAAATATTGACATAAGTGAAAAATTCTCTACATAAAATTAGGAGTGAGACACCAACATTCTCTGAAATGCTTTTTCTTAAATGAAAAATTTCTCCCTAATTTTTTGTTTAAAATTTGATGAAACCAATGCAATTTCTGACAAAAAGCCATTAGGAGGAAAAATATATTGAATTCAGCCAGTACTATCCAGCTCTTTCTCACTATTTTATCCACCTCCCTCCACTACACAATAGCAGATTGCTTTGTCTTTGTGGGCAGCTCCCCTAAGCCTCCCTTCATATTGCAGACTTTCCACATCATTTTAACACTTTCCCACTGGGTGCCACAGGTGACCAGCTCTCCTATGCTTCATAGGCACTTTTAATTCCTACAAGGTGTTTGGGTACTAGGTGAGCTTAGGCACCATCGTGCCAGGTTACATCTCCTAAAAATCCTCTCATCTCTGCCAGTTTGCAACCTCCTGTCCTGCTTTGTGTTTGCGGAGATGTGAGTGCCCTCTGGGCTGGATCTGGGCTCTGGGCCCCTGTTTGGCCTTGCGGGATTTATGCCATCTGCTAACTCGCTGGGGAAGGGGGTAGGGAACACCAGCCCAGACTCCAGCCACGCAGCAGCGCAGTGTTGCCGCCCCAGCGCAGCCTGCTGCTGTTTGTGCATTCCTTTTGTTGGAGACCAGGCAACCTGCTTTTAATCCGAGCCCAGTGGGAATTAATTTTGGAGTAAGCTTTTGTATCAAACACTTTCCTAAGATGTAGCTATATTACATCTGCTGCACTCCCTTCATCCATTAATTTGTTAATTCTACCAAAACCAAGCATATGCTTTTCTGACACACAACTTTCACAATGGGGCTGAGCAGAGGAATAAAGGGCTTCAATTACTCATGCAAACAATTTATCTGAAGCCTGATCTTGTTCTCACTGAAGTCAGAAACAAAATACCCATTGACTTCTGTGTGAGCCAACTTGGACCTTGGGGTCTGATCCAGTGTGTGAGCCTGATCCTGCTGGTCGCTTAAGCACTTGCTGAAGGCAGGGGCCTGCCAGGGTGTCATCATCCCTGGTCTCTGACATCAGAGACTGCTGGAAAGAAAAATGACTGTTGTGCCACAAATAGCATGATTGAGTCACTTTGCTACAGGATCAGCTCAAAGGAGGGGGAAGTGACTGGCGAGAAGGTAGCAGGAAAAGGAGCAGAGCTGTGGTATCTCACTCGGGGAAAAACAAACAGGCAAACAAAGGAAAAGAAACACATATTGCCTCCTTTGGCCTTCTTTAACAGGACAACTCCATTTTACAAATCCTTCTGAAAAATGCAGGAAAAGACAAGAACGGGCTTTAAATCACACTGCACTTTTCTTCCTGTTTGCAGGACAAGCATGAGTGCACTTTTACAAAGATAAAGGGAACACAGCTGAATATTCCATGACTGTTTTCTTACTTGCGTCTACCTGCTGTGCAGGTGGCTATGTATTTTTGAATAGGATCACAGTTATTTGCACCTGCAAAACTGGACCTAGTGATTCTGTTGTCAGCAAAATCGCAGGTGCAGGAGTCAGTACAGAAAGCAGCCCTAAAGAAATCATAGTCCATACCACTATGAATAAATCTACAGGGACTTCAAGCATTCAGGGCACCTAGCTTGTCCCCTAAAACCCCGGTGCTTTCAGGATAGTAAAAACCAGCCATCCTGACCTGAAGTACAGTTCAGGAACAGGAGCTGCGGTTGCTCAGTGCTTGGTTTTTGCAACTGCCATTTTCTCCAGGGGCAAGAGAGCAGCTTCCAGGAAAAACAGCCAAAAGTTAAAACAACACAGCAGCTCTTACTATGGCCCTGGAAATAACAGGGGCAAACAGCTGTCATTTTCGTTCTTTTAGCCTGGATGCAATTTTCCTCATCTCACCCTTTTACACAGGTCACGCAAGGGAGTTGAGTTCCCTTCCCCATGCTGCCGGGCCCCGTAGGAGGGGAGGGGAAGGGACAGTGAACGAGGTGTTTGCAGGATGTCACATCCCGGGCCAGCTGGAGTGCAAACCCTCCAAGGCCTTCCACTGCCTGTCACCTGTGCTGCAGGTTCACATTGCTCATTATTTGAGATGACTAAATGGCAGCTGATAAAAATATACTAGTTTTTCTTCTTTTGCTGTGCAGGTGTGTGCAAAATTTCCCACCAGCCCGGGGGAGGCAGCTCTACACTCAGGTGGGCTGGCTCAGTAGCGAAGACCAGCCTGAGCTTAACAGCACTCATTGCCCCCTCCTTCCCAACAGGTTGAATTTATGCTCCTACCTACCCCAGGTCAAAGCATCTTCTTGCCTAGCCTTTACTCTTGTTTTAACACAAATATGGGGTAATCAGCTGTGGGAAGGCTGCAGACTTTCTGATAGGTCAGAAAAGCTGGCTCAGGGCTCCCTGGAAGCATCGACCAAAGAACATCACCAGCCCAAGGTAGAGGGATGTATGTACCTGGCCTTGGAAGGGAGAGCCAGAACTGGGACAGAGTCACAAGGTTGGCCTTGTGTCATCTTTTGCCGTCTCTGGCTCTGGAGCAAGAGGCAACCACTAATTGGAAGGAAAAGATAGTACACACATCACCCCATATACCGTAGCCTGTCCCTCTGCTCTTTTGGCTTCCCAGGGCTCTGCCACAGGGAAAGCACAGGGCACAGCCACCTTCCTGCCCTGACAGGATGATGCCCTGGGCAACCTCCTACTTTGCTATGCCTACACCCACCCCTACCCTCCCCAAAACAGCCCTGCTACTTAAAGAGGAGGGAAAAAATCATAACAAGTCAGACTTTGCCACAAAACACGAAGCAGCAGAGGAGCTGATACTGTAAATGGGAAGGGTGGGTGTACCCTCTTTGAAGGAGAAAGGTCTTTCCTCCCTCTTTGCTGCACTGGGACGTAAGCCCAGAGCTGCTATTGTAATCGTTTGTGAATGTGGAGGCAGGTCTAAAAAGCCAGCTGTGAATTTTGGTAGTCGAAAAGTAAAAAAAAAAAAAAAACAACCAAAAAACAAACACTAAGAGAAAGGCTCAAAGCACGCAAATACAGGGTTGGGAAAATCACTGCCTAGATTTCATCTACAGCATCCAAAACCTGTACACTTACCTATAGCTGCAAACTCCCCTTTTAGCCCTCTGCTTCCTCCATTTAACTTCTTACCTACCCTGGCATCTCCACGTATCCAGATAATACAGTAAGATCAACTTTTGCCATCTCCACCACACACAAGCACAGCACGTTCAAAGGCTGTGAACTTGCCTACATTAATTTATCCCAGACACCACAAAAAGCCTCCTTACTGAGGACCATTCCCCTATCAACCTTCAAGTCTCAATCTCCAGAAGTAAAGAGCCATTTTTTTTTACTGCACAAAACCATGTCTCCTATCTTATACTCAAAACCAACGAAAATTATTTGACCCAAATGCTGCAGAAATTCAGCCTTAGATACAAGAGTAACAACGTCTCTTCTCCATAGGCCAAACTTGCAGAAAATTACAAGCAACTGAAAATGAGTGTTTCAAATGGAAGTGTTATGCAACATGAATGACAGTGACCTGAAATGCTCAGAGCAGACTATTCCCATCTCCAACATTTGTCTATAGCAGTGCAGGAAACTTTGGAGGCCTTTCTCCAGGTTAGAGAAAGAAAAGATACTTAAAACTGTGCAGTACTTGAGTATCTTTTGGGCTTTTGGGTCCTTGCTTTACCAGAATATCTATGGAAATGGGGGAAGTTTAGATGAGATGTCATTCTCAACCCCAGTCGACAAAGATTCCCCTTAGACTCACCTCAGGCCATAAAGGACAGTCCCATCAGGATGGAGCCGGATCATGCGATTCTTCACTGTCACCCCATGCAGAAAGGACTTCTTGTCATTCAGGAAATAGGTGTCAGGCAGCCACAACTGGTCTGCCACCCGGTTGTCCAGGGTCAGGTTGAGAGGAAGGTCATTATACGCCAGGCGTTTGTCCCGCCAGCTCTGCTGAAAGTACATGGTGATGGTGTAGTCCTGGAAGAGAAACACACAAACATCAGCCTGTCTCCAGGGTAGGGACGTAACTCAGTCCCTTCACTGTTGCTGCTGCCGAGACCTTTGGTGGGTCTCCAAATATCTTGGCACCCAATTGTTTGTGTCTGCAGCTCCACCAGTTGTGAGGACTGTGCTTTGTTCTGGAAAAATGGAAATAAGCCTGAGCTTTGTAGGGGACAAAATGACATTACATGACTCCAATCAAAGAAAACTGCATCGCACTCATGTTGTTCCAACCTGCTTAGAGTTTGGCTGCAAAACTAGTGGAAGTTAGGACTACAATAACACTAAAGGATGTCAACCAACAGTGGGCTATACCTCGCCAAAGACTTCAAGGACTGATCTCCCAGTTAAGTCACGTAAAGGTATCTAGACACAACGCAGTCACGCTCAGCCACTGCTTGTTACCACACAGTTAGTTAAAGCCAGTTTTATTTTGAGCTGAAACTCAGGAGATTCCCAAGGGCACATGGAAGAATCTCACCTCAAGGCCAAGATTTCAAAGTCAACCCAGGCCAGCCGTGACAAGCTATCAGCACTTGCCTTGTTATATGAGCTAAGTTGGGAGTTCATTGCGATTCTCAGGAAGGGACATATGTGGAGGAAATCTGTCACCAGTGGAGCATGATCCACTGGTAAATGGGCAGTTCCCTAACCATCCCCAGCTAGTACAATGTCATACATATGTCCTGCTCCTCTCCTGTACAATAGTAAAAAGCCAACACTTAAAACTCTTGTTAAGACAAGAATTTTATAGAGAGCAGGGAGATGTGTTTGGTGACCCACAGCTCTATCTGCAGAAATCATAGAAGTTGCTGAACAGTAAGAGCACATCCAGGGCAGATCCAGAGGCCCCAGATGGGCTTGTTCAGAGACACAGTATTGTGGCACCATACTAGAAGAAGAATTGTTTCTTCTCAGATAAACGAGTAGTACAGGAAGGGGTCTTGTATGCACTAATGACAGAAAACATTTCACAACAGGTCTTAAATAGGCTAGGAGACAAGATTTGTGGGGGTAAACCATCCAGCATTAAAATAACAGGCTATTGATTAGGAAGTAGGTGCAAGTCTAGCTGATAGTGGCCTTACAGAAGTCAGTGATTTTTCACAAATCCTTAAATAAAAAGCATTTTTGCAAATGCATGTGAATGATGTAGAACAGGTGGGGCCAGAGATGCATTGTCTCTTCCCAAGCAGATACCTACAGTGCCACAGGAATCCTCCTAACCACACAGATTTGCATGATGGGTGTTTCTGCTCTGCAAATTCCGGCTCTGTGCAAGAGGCTGGTGAGGGCCTTGCTCATGCACTAACATCTGGGCTGAGCACAGAGGCATCCTGCCTGCCTGTGTTCTCCCACTGACTTCAAAAAGCCAGGTTTGATTAACACCTCCAAAAACAAGCTCAAATAATCCCACATTATTGGGTATCTAACTATGATTCAGAAATCTAGACCCACATGCATATCCAAAAGGTCACAGAGTAAACCCATGGTGTAGACTGGATACAAAAGCTGTATCTGTCACTTTCTGTGTTATACTGAAAAGAACAAAAACACAGCGACAGATTTCTGGCCAAGGAGCTGTTTTGCTTTGCTTTATAAAGGACTGTTAAACTCCTGCCTCAGAGGCCTCACAGTCCATCTCTCAGGGGCACAAACATTTTCATTTTGGTCAAGACCTTGCAGAGGAAAATGTTCGCCCCAGTACCCCCGCCAGGGTGTTTGGACCTGCATTGCAGTGAGAGCACAGAGAACAGAGTGCCTCTGTTCCCAGAGCCTCTTACCCTCCTTGGCAACAGAGTCTTCCCCCGCCTGTGGGAAACTCGGCTACAGAGGCATCATTTCTATTCTACCCCTTTGAGAACTCCACCTGCACATCTTAGCAAGGTGCTTCACTGACCTGCATTTTCCTAATCCCTGACAGGGCCCTGAAACACCTCACCCCTAACTAGGCCACCCTGCTGTCACTGCAGGCTCCTGACAGCTTCCAGCAGCAGCAGACAAGAGGTGGCACCGACCTCCGGAAGATAAAAAGGGCAAGCTGCTTACAAAGTCGTTAGCACCTAAGAGATCCACCTTCTGAAGCACCTAAGAGATGTACCTAAACACATCTTCTGTATTTCCAGGACTGACGGGAACAAACTCAGAAAAGTGCAGAAATAAAAGCCTACACCTTAGCCATCAGGCTGATGATCTTCTTCAGGTGCAGAGACATTTCTGGGAAGAACATCCAGCCCAGCCCTGGGCTGAGCTGTGTTCTCCAGTCTTCTTGAGCTTCTTGGCACAATAGATATCTTTGGGCAGCATCATGGAAGTCTAGAGCACTTGATAATAATGGTTTTATCTAGTGCCTGAGGTTTCTCTCCGGCCCTCTCTCTGCTGATTCCTGTGTTCCACTTATCATTCTCCTGCTCTCCCTACCCCATCACATTGTTGAACAGCGGGTGGGATTTCTGGGCAGGAGGAAAAGAGTAGAAGTGTCCACCTCACAGAGGTCAGTCCCTGAGAGGGCAGGGCACAGACCGGGAGGCTGGAAGAAGCACAGAGATGGCCCACTACAGCAAGTGAGAGGGACCAGTACCCAGGAGAGAAAGCAGTTGAGTTTGCCTTCCCCTTTATACCCCATAGCCTGGTCAGGCAGTTATGAACCATCCACGTGACACCCTAGCATCACCACCTGGCCAGGCTCCAGAGCTGATGAGATCTTAATCATAGCCTTCCTTTCAGAGGCATATAAAATAATGACCATGGGTGACATCGTTCTGTAGAAGCAGAATGGCCAGATGGAGCCAACGCATGCAGTGGTTCATAAGTTCAGGAATCAGAAGTAATGAGCCTGATTTTCCTCCAAGTCTTGAATGACAATCCCTTTGTTGTAGGGTTTTATCTGTCATTGGGCTAATATGAAGCTTTCCCAAACCTCCCAGTAACCAGTGACATTCACAAGCCTACTGATGCCACAGATACACCACAAGCCGAGTTTTCCAGAATTACCAGCAGATAGAAAGTTGGCCCATTTACCAGGCTCAATGAAGAGCTTCAAAACCAAACGCACCTGGAGCCCATGCACCCCTCCGGCTTGCTACTGAAGCACTTTACTGGGACAACACAGCTGAATGTCCCTGATGCCCATGCTAGGGATAAGCCAGGGGCTTTCTCTGTGCGTGCGTACCCAGTAAGCAGCTTTCTCCACTGCTGCTGCTGGAGGAGCAAGTGGGAGGCGCAGGCAAATATGACTTTCCACTTGCCTCTGGACTAGCAGCCTAGACCATCTCCACACAGCACCAGCGCAGCTCCAGTAGCACCAAAAATGCTTCCACATTTCCTGTAATGGATTCCATTGGGTCTTTCTGGAGGACCATCAAATGCCCACACAGGGACAGAGTCTGCCCAAGGCCAGTCACTGCTGTGGCAAGGATGTAAGAGCTTTGCAGAAAGCTCCCAGCTCAGCATGCCAGGTACAGCTACTGCACTGGGGAGAAAAGGCAGAACCCACACTGGAGGGGGCACACATGTGCCAGGCCACCCTGCGCAAACCTCCTGCTTTGTCTGGTGGCTGCTGGGGGAGGACAGGTAAACCTGGAGGAAGGAAGAAGCCACTCCTCATCAGAAGCTCTGTGTAGGTTCCACTGAAAAGACCTTTGGCAATTGTTCAGTGTGAACTTGGATTTCAGTTTTTAAATAACAAAAGGCTGGGACAAGGGAAAGAAGGCTTCTGAAGGGTGGACATGACCAGAAGTTACATGCCTCCACCTGGTCCTCTGTTTTCCACCCCCAGTAAAAGCAAGCTTTCCAAAGCTACCTGCAAACTTTCTCTAGCTTACTGACCACATCAGCCTGTACCTACCCTGACCAGCATCCCACTGTGGGAAGCTGAAACACTGCAGTCAACAGTGATGGCAAGGACGTAAGCCTCTTTCAGACCCAGACGAGTCCTGCCAAGTCTCATTGACCTACAAATCATGTGTCCCTTATGCCAGAAGAGCTTGTGTGTTCAAAACACGCTGTTCATCTTTCATCCATCTCTGGTAGCCCATAGGTGGCCAGATCCCTTGGTTTGTCCCAGAAGTCCGGTACCCAGTAGCTCACAAACTGCACAGCTCCAGTGCTGCTTCCAGACCTTTTATTTACCGCAGTAGTCCTGCACTGCCCTCTCTGCTTTGCAAGGCTGAGCTCGTGGCCCAGCTGCGTGTGGGACCACGCTCAGCACTGCAGCTCCCCTTCAGCCCCTCACAAAGCTGAGATGGCACCTGAGCCTGCTGGAAAGCTGCTCAGCATGACCGTCCCCATGGGACCCCCCCCCTCCACATGCCTCCATTCGGTCTGCTCTGCCAAGCAGCTTCTTGCGAGCTGTCAGCCCCAGCCCCCCTTGCCTCCCTCCCCCGCTCCCAGGTTTTCAAAGGCTTTGCTCTCTTTCTGTCTCCTCCTTCTTGCTTCGTGAGGCACTCAAAACAGAGGTGAGAGCAACACGTGGAGCCGGCAGACACTCGCGTTGCAGAGGTGCCTTCCTGTGAGGAGGGAGGACAGCTCACTTAGAGGCACACAAAAGCCCCAGAGAAGTAAGAGGAGCTTACTTGCAGGCCTCGCATGCTGAAGTGGCAGTGCATCCTACCAGCTGCTGAGGACAGGGCTGCTAGCATCCATCTCCAGACAAGAGGAGGAGACTGATAATTACAGCCTTTCCTGAAACTCAGTGGAGACCCCAAACCAAAGATGATGTAAGAGGACTGAACAGTGAAAGGCTGAAATGTTGACACAAGAGAGGCATGGAGGGAGGAAGGTATTTCCTGCAGAACCCCAGAGGCAACAAATTCAGTCAAGCATGCAGAGGGATTCCCCACTTTCTCAGAAGACAGGGTAGGTAAGTCAAAGTGAACAGCAGCTGAGGCACAGCAAGAGGGGAAGTAAGCTGGCACCATTAGTATGAGTTCAGGAATTAATTTCCCACTGGCTTATATTCCAAACACCTTTATTAG